TGCATAAATTATAAATATTTATATAGTATTATTGTGTAATTAACAAAAAAGGGAAATCACACATATGGTCCCTCAGTTATCCATGAAATTAAAATCTCAGACCTCTATTTTTGAGATTGTAAATGTCACCCCTCAATTGTTCAAATTGTTGTAAATGTGGTCTTTAAGTGGGGAAATGTACTCTCGCCACATTGTATATTTCACCCCTCAAAAGGACCACAATTACAGCATTTTGAACAAATGAGGGGTGACATTTACAATCTTAGAAATACAAGTCTGAGATTTTAATTTTGTGGATAACTGAGGGACCATATATGCGATTTTCCCTATATTTAATAAGAAAATATGAAAGAGTAGGAGTAGGAATGTAGAAATAGAAATTATAAATATTTATATAGTATTATTGTGTAATACTAAATAAGTATATAAATAAAATTATAAAATGAGAATATATGAATGATGAAAGATGAAAGTGTAAATGTGAATAGAGTAGAATTAGTGATTGAGAAATTGAGAGTAGAATTTGAGTAGAAGTAGAATAGTGTGAAAAAATGTATAAAATGAGTAAGTATATATAGGATTTTTTTTTTGTAATCCCCAACCCCCATCCCCAAACCCCCCTAATCCCCTCCCCAACGTCTATAATGCCGTTACTAGCCATTCCAAATGGCTAGTTTGACCCCAGCCCCACCCAACCCCCCTAATTAATATTTTTTTAAAAAAAAATCCGTTGGGACCGGAACTGGGAACAGGACCGCCCGGTCCGGTCCCCATTTTGGCTTACCCGGGACCGAGGCCAGAAATACTTGGTCGGGTACCCGGTCCAAGACCGGGACTAGAAAACCGGACCCGGTCCTGTCCCGCACAGTTGCGAGCCCAGTTTCGGTCCGGTCCGGGATCGCCGACCAGGTCCATCCCTAGGGCAAACCATGTGGATACTCAAGCCATTTCTATACACAAGTTTGGCTGTCAATGGACATCATTTGTTGGTAAAATATTGTTTTCAAAATATATAAAAACAAGTTATCTTACTATTGTGCAAGATTTGTTTGTTTACAATAGTAAAAATAGGTCAAAAAAGGTCCCTTTAGGAAGCATTCGAGTCGACCATTCAAGTTGTGCACCATCCAAAAAATGGGCTCTCGAGTGTCATCTGAGCTCCCCCCCTTTCGATACAAGGGACCCCCCATCCCTTCGAGAAGAATTTGGGTTGACTTTTCGAGTTATGGATTATTCGGCAAGATGGGCTTTTGCTCTCACTCCTTTGAGAAGCGTCTGGGCTGACAGTTCGAGTTGCTCCTTGTTTGGCAAAACGGGCTCTGCTCTCCCTAGTCCTAGAGTCGTCCAAGCTCCCCACTGTACAGCACAGAGGACCATCATCTTATGGAACACGACTGATCCCTCAGCACCGTAATCTCTAGCTTACGGCCGATCTCACCATTTCCTTCCAGGATGGCAACTGACTTCTTATGAAGCATAATCGGCTCCTCAACGACGTAGTATTAAGCTCACAGCCGGTCTCACCCATCCCCTTCCAGGGTGGTGACCGACGTCTTATGCAGCACTGCGGGTCCATCAATGCCATCGTCCCCAACTCATGACCGGGATAACCCATTTTCTTCAAGGACGACGACCGACGTCATGTGCAGCACTAAAGGCCTCTCAACGCCATCATCTTCAATTCATGGTCGGGCTTGCCCATTCCCTTTCATGATGGTGATCGTCGTTATATATTGCAAGACTGGGCCCTCAATGTCGTCGTCCCAGTGGTTTGTTCTATCTAGAGGGGAAAATACCCACTGACTTAGTAGCACCACACAAAGATACAGATTCAAGAAAGACCAAGGAAGAACACAAGCAAGAGTATAATATCTTGAGTAGATTCACATGTTCACTATTCAAGAAGCTGGGAGACTTGTGTCAGGATATTATATTGGAGTGTTAATTCAGTGGATTACAAAAATTCTCCGCATCTTAGGGGTTAGAGAGAGGCTTTGGATCCACCGTTTCTCTCTTTCTCTTTGGAGGTCTTCATCTAGCCTGTGTCGCGGTAATAAGGTGGTCTTTCTCTCGCTTGTCGAGAGCTAGTTTTGTCTCTCGCGTGTTGAGAACGGTGAAATGCCGCACTTCTGCGGATCAGTTTTTCTTTTGCATTTTGATCGAATGCATGTTCAAGATAGGATAACCACGACTTCTTTGGATGATCTAGATCAACGTTGTCCCATTCCAGCAATTGAGGAGGAGGTTGAAGGGTTGGTTTTTGGCGGCTCAAAATGGGTGGAGGGCTGTAAGGGTAATGAAGGAGGCACATGCAATGAGCAGACGCGGAGCGGTGAAGGGCTGAGCAAGGGAGTTGACAGATCGGCTGTCCGCGCCCTCCTGAACTGCCTCCTTGGAGCGATCGAGGTGCCAAGGTTTGGAAGATGATTTTCAAGAAAACTGGTAGGAAGGAGTTATGAGTATTTATCATTTATTTTATCTTTTATGATCTTTTATTCGCGTTAGGCGTTATGTTTGGTTATGTTGCTCTGTTTTTGGTTAATGTCTTTAGTTTTAGGTTTATAATGTTTGACAATTCTGCTAGATATGATGTCGTTAGAAGGATCTATATGACTATATGACCAGTGGTTGCTGTGTCACAATCGTTTTGTGGTTAGCAATTCGTATTGCTCTTTCAGGGGTGATCATTTCTAAGTCTAGCCGTAGGGTTGATAGTGCTAGTTGGTTACAGATAGTTGTTGTCAGTGTTGGTCACTTTGAATAGGGGTGAGCATGGGATGGTACATAATGGTTCTCTTAAATAACCTATCCCGTCCCAAATTTCGATTTTTGTAAATATTAAGGTACGAATATCATTCCAAATATAAGTAGCACAAGTCCCGTTCCGTACCATCTTTTGGAATGGTTCGGGACGGTTCATGGTACCATTCGATTCTAAAAAGATGTGTATAACAAAATAACATATAAACTATAAGTCAATATTCACACGCTCAATTTAAAAAGTTATGTTTTTCTAAAGTGAAACATTAATGGTGCAAAAGTAATATTGTTCATTACAATTAATCATTAATGATCATAAGATTATATATAACGATCATTAACAATCACAAAAAAGACTTAACCTCCAATAACAGACCGAGACAAATTTAAAATAAGAGTATTCATCATTATTAAATGAATAGTAGTTCATAAGATTCAATATAGTTATTAATTTGTTGGACTACGCGAATGTGGGCAAATATCTCATTACTATAGTAACTAATGTCTAGCTATATATTGCATATTCTAGGATATAATATGGTACAAAGTATATATTATGTAAAATAACCGGTTCGTTGGAACGGTTCGGCTCTGGGATGGATCTAGTGCACAACTGATACCGTACCATATCATATAAGACAATCGATTCGGTACGGTACTGAACTAGATCTTTCCGATTCTTTCGCTTCTGGTACGGATCAAATCGATGGCAAATTATACCGTGGCAAATTATACCGTATGACCGGTATACGGTGAGCACCGTATACCGGTATACGGACTTTTTATTTTTTTTTCCTTTTGTTTTTAAAAAATGGTAATAACTTTTTTAGTTTTGATCTGATTTTTATAAAATTTATATCAACATTTTTTATTTTTTATGATCTTTCAAATGAGACCAATATTGCTCATGTAATATTAAGAAATTATCGAACTATTATATTAATGAGTATTGGATTATAAGGAAAATCGAACTAAATTTAATACAGAAAAATAATCGTGTAAATCACAATTTATCTTAAAATTGTGTATATAAAAATTTTATTGTAATATGTATTTATACATGTGAGTTACATATTTTTATGCGTAAAGTTACATATTTTTACACGTAAAGTTACATATATATATACACACGAGTTGCATTTGGTCTGCCTGAACGTGAGTTACATATTTTTACACGTAAAGTTACATATTTTTATACGTAAAGTTACATATTTATACACGCGAGTTACATATTTATACACACGAGTTGTATTTGACCTGTCTGAACGCGAGTTACATATTTTTACACGTAAAGTTACATATTTTTACACGTAAAGTTACATATTTATACATGCGAGTTACATATTTATACACACGAGTTGTATTTGACCTGTCTGAACGTGAATTACATATTTTTACACGTAAAATTACATATTTTTACACGTAAAGTTACATATTTATACTCGCGAGTTACATATTTATACACACGAGTTGTATTTGACCTGTCTGAACGCGAGTTACATATTTTTACACGTAGAGTTACATATTTATACACACGCGTTGCATTTGGTCTGACTAGACGTGAGTTACATATTTCTATACGTAAAATTACATATTTTACATAGGTTAATATAATAGTTCGATAATATGTTAAAATTACATAGGCAATATTGGTCTCATTTGAAAGATCATGAAAAATAAAAAATGTTGATATAATTTTATAAAAATCGGATAAAAAATAAAAAGTTATTAGCATTTTTTAAAAAAGAGAAGTAAAAAAATAATAAAACCGTATGCTACGGTGCTCACCGTATACCCAGGGGCGGAGCCAAGGAAGGGTAGGGTGGTCATTGGACCCCGCTGAAAGTTTGAGAGTATAGAGCTTTGAAATATCTTCAATTTGATATTTTATGGTCCGACTCATTACGAGCAAAAAGTTATGACTTCTGGAAAATCAACAATATTTAAACGTAAAATCAGCAAAATTTGAGACATACTATAGATTATTTTCCCAAAGACAATCTATCTTATTGCTACGAGTGTCTATTTATCTAAACTGCATATGAAATATTGAACTCAGACATTGTTTAAAAGATCTGTCATTTTCATTCTGTATATAGATTGAGTTTAAAAGATCTGACATTGTTTAAAAGATCTGACATTTTTTAAAAGCTATTTTTCCAACTTCATTTACAATGCATTAATAACAATGGATCATTCTCACTCTTGTCTTTGAGTTTATTGTAACAATCCAGAGTACTTTAATATAAGCTGTATTTCACTCCAAAAAAGAAAAATCCAAGTGAAATCGGTCCTCTTAATACTATCGTATGAAGTAAGCAGTTACGTACAACCAAACGGTCAGGGTTGCAGTGAATTTTTTTCTCCATTTTTTGGACATGAGCTGATCTCTAAGCAGGATCGATTCCTTATTCGTTCTTCGCCAGGGGTAGTAGGGTTTCGTTGAAATTGCACGAGCGCAATGGAAGAAGAAATTCAAAATAAACTCCAATCCGAAGTCCAACATCACGAGTTAGGGCTCCAGCTCCAATCTCTGACAAATCAATCGCTTCCGCCTAATGCCTATCCTCAAACCCCTGTTGAAAGCACACCACTGCTGTCTGAAGATAATGAAGGTGAGGTTGATGAAGAAGATGAGAAAGCTATGCAAATCATCTGCAATGAGCTTCAGGACTTGGTGCTGAGTCAGGCGTATCACGATCGTGAGACAAACCTGAGCTTAGAGGAATCAGGCAAACCTTGCGATGGATATGACGGTTATGGGTATGGATATAGTGATCACAATGGGTACAATATATATGGTGATGATGATATGACCGGAGATGGGGTTGATATTCGAAATGGGGTTGATGAAGTTTCTATTGAAGGGGACAAAGCTGGTGATGGGTGGTTTTATTCTAGTGTTGGTCATGGTAAGAAATTTGTTTTCAACTATCCTTTGAGACCCGATGCAGAGGATTGTGCCTTCTATGTCAAAACTGGCACCTGCAAATTTGGATTCCATTGCAAGTTCAATCACCCCAGACTAAAATCTCAGGTCTGGTTTGGTTTAGTTTCTCCATGTATGATGCTAGGATTATGTTTTTTTTTTTTTGTAGTTTTGTAAAGGAAAAAGCTTCCTTGAAACCTAAAATTTTTTGTTATCAGTTATTGCCTGTTTTCAGTTTTGTGATAGATAGTTCTGATATTGCTTTACTAAAAGGGTCTATATTAACCTTTTGTTCCATTCTTATTCAGTGGCCTAAAGACAAGGGGATGCTAAAAGAAAATAACCCAGAAAGAACAGTGCAGTCAGAATGCAAGGTTTGGTCTTAAATCACCTTTTAATTTTTTGTTACTTAACTGACTTGGGAACATAAAGGTACTATTATTGTCATGTTAATAATGAAAGAGTAAATATCAATCCATGTGTTTAGTACTACTGGTCTTGGTTGTTTACTATGAACGATGCGGTGATAAGCATAGATAATGACATACAAAAGAATTGTTGGCTTGTTGCAAATAGTATTGAAATTCAAATCTAATGTTCTAAACTGCTTCTTTTATTTCTCTCTTTTATAACACTAAGATCAAAACATGTAGCTTCTATCAATGATTAGTGTTGATGGATATTAAGAAGTGGTAGACCATACTAAAACAGTGATGGTAGCTAACACTGGTTACATGTGTCTGCACTAGTAGAAGTAGTTTTTTGCATGGCTGTCTCAAGGCATAATATTTTGTTGTGTTGTGATTTAAATAAGTCATATCTTATGGCATAGTTTGCTGCACGTTTAATACTTCAAAACGTTAAAGAAACATCTCTATGCTTTGCCTGTTGTGGATTGGTGTTGGCAAATCCGGGAAAGGTTTCCACATTACAGATTTGCATGCACCAACTTAAAAAAATGCGAGACTCCTGATCGCGGTTATTTGGTCATGTGCATAGAAGAAAGGGATGCATCTGTTAGACGAGTTGAGAGGTGGAGAGAAGAGGCAGGGAGGAGAGAGGGCAAGACCCAAATAGACGTGAATTAGATGGGCCAAAGAGTGATATGCTTCCTATTGGGTTAGGCTAGAATGTTGGATGAGAGTATGATTTTGGAGAGAGCAAAGTGCATGAAGAATATTCGTGTGGAGGATTGTTCTCTTTTCATCTGATTTCATGTGTCGATTCATGTTAGCCGACCATTGGGGCCATGACCTAGTTGTTTTTGTACTCTACATAGTGCAATAAAATGAAATATACTATAAATTTGAATAATTTCAAATGTATAAAAGAATACAAAATATATAAATAGTCCCCATCCTTTAAAAGAGTCCTCTCTGACCAAAGTAAATCTTTTTACTTTCAGACAAAGTACAATTTTTGTAACTCATAACTTATATTCTTGTTTTTCAAATTTCATCAGAATTGTCTTTATTTGGTCAATGTGAAATGTATGATTATATTCTGTATACTTTTATATTAAAATTTTACACAATGATTACATGTAGCTCTATTTAGTATTAGGGTTCCAAAACACAAATGGACTAAGCCCAATGTAACTAGGGTTTCCACACCCCCTTAAGCTGGAGCATATAAATCATATGCACCAAGCTTGTTACAAATATACTCCACTCTAGGACCTCTAAGAGACTTAGTTAAAAAATTGCGAGTTAATCAATTGTGTTGACATAATTTGTGAAAATATGTCTAGCCTTGATCTTTTCCTAGGATAAAGTGGTAATTAACTTCAACGTGTATAGTCCTCTCAAGATATACCAGATTCGATACAATGTGAGTTGTGGCTTGATTGTCACGCAATAATTGAACCAGTTTTGCGCTTCCATATTTTAGTCTCGGAGGAGATGCTTCAACCATAAGATTCACATTTAGCAAGGGCCACTGCACGGTATTTTGCTTCAGCACTAGATTTGGAAACCACATCTTGTTTCTTATTCTTCCAAGAAATTAAACTTCCACCGATCAATATGCAATATACCGAAGTAGACCGTCTATCTATCGAACATCCAATCCAATCCAATACGCATCACACTATCTGAAATTGTCTCAGTGTCCCCGGTTTTCGAAAAGCAACCTTTGTCCTAGTGTTTTGTTAATGTATCTCAAACCTCAGATAACTGCATCCCATGGTCCGTTACATGGCTTATCAAGAAATCTATTAAGAACACTTACCGCAAATGAAATATTTGGTCTCGTGATGGTAAAGTAATTTAGTTTGCCAACGAGCCTTCTATATTTTCCTTCTTTGGGCAGAGAGTCTCCTTGATCTGACAAGAGTTTGAAAGTTTGGATCTGTTGGTGTATCCACAGGTCTACACTCTAGCATACCTATTTCTTCAAGAATGTCCAAGACATATTTTCTTTTGAGAGGGATGTCGATCAATCCACCGTAGGTGGGAGCCTTTGCGGCACTGGGGTAAATGAAAATGAAATGAATATGAGGGATGTCGATCAAAGGGTGCTAATGGAGGACGGGGAAATAAAAGAGAGGTGGATGTCATACTTTGATACCTTGTTCAACGGGAATATAGTGCAAGATATTGATGATCTTACTATACCGAATTGTATGGTAAATCGAGATTTTGTGAGAAGGATCCAAATGTTAGAAATTAGAGAGGCTTTGAGAAAGATGGGGTAGAAGAAAGCAGTGAGTCCAGATGGCATACTGATCGAGGTCTGGAAAAGTTTGGGAGAGAGATGCATCGAGTGACTAACACGTTTCCTAAACATGATTTTGGAGAAACAACAAAATGGTAGTGAGTTGGCAAAAGAGTACTCTTATTCCCCCATTTAAAAATAGGGGTGATGTACAAGAATGTGCCAACTATCGAGGAATTAAGCTTATGATAGGCATGCAGATGATCAACCTACTGAATATTTTAAAAGAGTCTATCAAAGGAGGAATAAGAGGGTAGTTAGTTAGTTAACAAAATTAGTTAGCTAACTGTTGACATCCCTGTGTGGATGATAGCTATAAATAGAAGGTGGATAGCTAAATAAGGCGGGCTGTTATTTCGGTTGAGATTTGGCTTGGAGATTAGGCATCTCAAATTGTCTTTGGCACTGTATACCTTCTTTGATCTTCCCTTCTTCAATAAACACTTGTTGATTTGATCTTAGATTGATTCATCTAGATTTCCTACTGTTCTATATCGATCTCTACCAGTGTTCTATCATTGGTATCAGAGTAATCATTTCTGGTGACCAAAATTGTTGTCGCAATGTCAGACTTTTTGTGTTCCAGTTGTGAATGGTCTGGACGAGAGCCAAGATGGAGAAACGAATGGAAGCCATGGAATGTAGCAAGGTCACGATGGAAGAAAGTATGATGCAGATGAAAACGATGCTGGAAAACATCGCTGTAAGGATGGATGTGATGAGCGAAGAGTTTCAGGCGAGAGGAAGATCGCGATCTCATCATCGTCACCATACACGACCTTCAAACAGTCCAACAGCCTCAAGAGGTATTTCCGAACACTCGATTCCTATTAATCACAGGCGACATGATGAATATAATAGATTTCCAGTTCATACGGGTAGAAAGGTTGATCTACCTTTGTTCAATGGGGATGGGGCTTATAACTGGTTGGTAAGGATGGAGAGGTATTTTAGATTGAATCAAATTGCGGAAGAGGATAATGTTGAGGTATCAGTAGTAGCTATGGAGGATAGAGCTCTCAACTGGTTTCAATGATGGGAACACCAAACGGAGGAGAAGAATTGGGAGACTCTTAAGGAGTCAGTTATTCGCAGATTCCAGCCTGATTTAATGCAGAATCCCTATGGACCTATGTTGAGCTTGAAACAGACAGGAATTGTGAGAGAATACAGAGATGAATTTGAGATGATCATAGCACCTCAAAAGACTGTGGATAGAGAGATTTTGAGAGGAGTTTTTATCACAGGACTTAAATAAGAGATAAAAACTGAACTGAAACTGTATAATTCCAGATCATTATCTGAAATCATGGACAAAGCTTTATTGATTGAGCAAAGGAATGAAGCTATATATTTGAGAAGGAAGGAAGATGACAAATCACGTGGGAAGGAAAAGGGACCTATACCTGTTAAAACTCAAACCTGGGGAGAAGGATACAAAGCTAAACCTGGCACTTCATGGCCTAACAACACTGGGAAGAATGTAGCAGATACTAAGAATATTAATTCTTGGTTTGACAAGATGGGAAAGAGGGTGACTGAAATAAATCCTTCTGGAATCAGAAGAGTAGGACCACAACTATCTCAGGAAGAATTTCAGGACAGGAGCAGAAAAGGTTTATGTTTCAAATGTGGTGAAAAATGGCTGAGCCCTTCTTAGATCAAAGTTGACTTTGGTCTATCTTTCTCTGCCTTAATGGGCTCTCTATAAATAATGCTGGAGCTCGCGTGTAAACTGAAAATTACAAACTGATGTTTGTGGAGGATTCTGACAATGAAGGAGAAGATGAGGTGGCTGATTCCATAGCACCAGCTGAAGAAGAAATGTCATGGAATCTAAATCCACGCAGTTATCCCTTATGAGCAAAGAAGGAATACCTTCTATGACGGCTTGCAAAGTAAAAGGATGCTTGAAATGGGGTCAGGGAGAATAACAGGTACAAGTACTCATTGACAGTGGGGCCACTCACAATTTTATATCTCAAAGGATGGTAGATCAACTGAAAATACCTTATAACACCATTTCCGGGTATAAGGTTCACATAGGTAATGAAGAGATTTTTTTTAACTGACTTTATGCTTACAAGTTACTGAAATACAACAGGATTTTCGGGTATAAGGCAGGTGTGAAAAACTGACTTTATGCTTACAAGTTACCTGAAATACAACAGGATTTCTACATCCTGAATTTGGGAGGTACTGATTTGGTACTTGGAATGGAATGACTGACCAGTTTAGGAGATGTTGAGGTCAATTTCCAAAAGCAAAGCATCAAATGGAGGATACAAGGGCTGAATCAAATGATTCAAGGGGATCCTCACCTAAATTACCTCTAGGTTTCCTTGGCAAACCATGACTCAGATTATACAAGATGCAGGAGATGGATACTTTGTTTTTTGTGAAGGACAATCAGTTGAATCGAAGGGAGATAGAGAGATGGGTGAAACTTGGAATCCGTTTTTGGCAGACTTTCCAGAAGTGTCTCAGCCTATGAAGAACCTACCACCTAGCAGGACATTTGATCATGCCATCAACATCCAAGAAGGAGCCTGTATCCCAAATATAAGGCCCTACAGGTACCCCACAATATCAGAAAACTGAGATAGAAAGGATTATAAAGGAAATGCTCAATGATGGGATAATACATCATATCAATAGT